AATAATCGATTATACAACATTGTTTACTTTTTCTATCCATATACATAGATTATACATTCATTACACATAATTATACACATATAATACATAAATTATACATACATGATACCTCCATTGGCTATTTTTAGTTTAAGCGGTTGGGTGAGCGGTTATTTGAGTTAATTCTTTTTTACTTAATCCGGCCAATTTGAAAAGGTCTACGAAAAATCCTTGGTTTACAAGCCACTTCAAGAAAGATAAATGAAAAACATACAGTATAGTCGCTTCCAAAAATAATAGTCGGTAAAATACATATTTTGTGTATATTAATCTGTAGTATACATATAATATACATAATTTATATATATGTATTGCATATTTGGCTAACGAATATAATTTTTCTTATCGGCCGGCCAAATATGTAATTTTCCCAAGATAAATCAATCTAACAAAAGGTAAGCATGTAAGACCACTCACAACTAAGCCCAGGCGCCCATTTAGTAGTAAATGACTAAAAACTTCTAAGCTCCATTTTGCCAATTCGAGTCTGAAGTCCAAAACTTCTTTGTAACTCCCCTGGTCATTTTTAAGAATTAACCTAAATAACTATCCGTCCATTTACTTAAATTAAAAATAGTGATGAATGTAATATGTAATGTTTACAGTTCATGTATAATATGTCTATAATTATGTATAATTACCATATAAACAATAAATTCGGCCGGCTATATATGTAAAGGCCTCTGTCCTTTCTGAGGGAATGGAAGAGACCTTTAACTCCACCTAGTATGCAATGTGAATTCGGGTTTAACATATTTATTATATTTTCTAAGCTTATATCAGATGACATCTTCTCTCCACATGGTGGGATCTTCGAGCGAAAATAATTCACAGTTGTGTTTCTTCCAATATTGCTACTGAGTATTATCTTTCAAGTTGGATTTTTGAAGCAGCAACAATTCAGTGACAATGTCCAAAATCATGAGATTAGGTCAAATTGAGTAATTTGCTATTTGAGATAGAGGCAATTTACTACACAATCAGGAAAATTTAATTTTGTATGATTAGTCAAGCGTTAATAAGTAAGAAAAACTACACATATATACTAGGAAGCAACGGTAGTTTTTGTGCCATTCAGTTTCGCCCAACCATTTGGAGCTATCGATTTTGTATATATGGAAAGTGTTTAAAAGATAGCCTTTTGTCCTGGTACTGTTGCCGGAAAAATTACTCCGGCCCCGACAAGTCGTAGTATTTAGACAGAGGCTCAAAGTGGAGGAGACGGTGGGACATAGGTTTTGTCTGAATATGTTCAATTTTATGATCTCAAACTCTTTTTATTCCTCTTAAATTGATAGTCACCGATGAGGACACATGTACATAATAATATGAACAAATTGATAGGATATTTTAGTATAATACCATATATATAGATTTTCTTTCGTATTTATTTTATTTGGGTGGTTATAGAGTTTGCTAGTAGAGACAGGAATAGCCTAGTAATGGAATCTTTTCTTTCTTTGTATAAATATACGAATAGCACTGTACAGATGCCACAATGAATATAAAGTATTTTTCATACAATCTTTCTTGAATTTCTTCATGGTATCAGAAGCAATAGCTCACTGATTTTCTTTCGATTTACATTCCAAATATCTTTTCATTTCTTTTCTTTGAACACCTACAGAATGGATACCGAAGAACAGTCTTCCAAATCCAAAACTAAGATTGATGTTTCACATCCTTATTTCCTTTCCTTCTCTGATTCTCCTAGTATGAATCTCATCAACACTACCTTTCATGAGATCAACTTTGGAAATTTGAGAAGGGTAATTCTTATCTCTTTATCTGCCAAAAACAAATTGGGGTTCATCAATGGAACCTGTGCAATTGCAAAGAAATATTCGTGTCTATTAGTTCAGTGGACACGTTGCAATGACGTCGTAATAGCATGGCTACTTAATTCTATTAGCAAAGAAATAGCTGAGATTGTTATTTAATTAGAGACAACTGCAAATCTATGGAATGAACTAGAGGAAAGGTATGGAAAAGCTAATGGTAAAAAGCTATTTCAGCTTCAAAGAGAGCTGAACAATATCAATAAAAGAACTAGTGATGTAGCTGAGTGTTGGCCCGTCAAGAAGTCCCATATCCAGAAGATGAACATGACTGAAATGAGGATGTTGAGATGGATGTGTGGACATACTAGGAAAGGCAAGATTAGGAATGAAGTTATTAGGGACAAGATGGGAGTGGAATCAGTAGAAGCCAAGTTGCGGGAATCAAGGCTGCGATGGTTGGGCATGTGATAAGGAGAGACATAGATTCCCCGGTTAGGAGGTGTGAGAGGTTGATCATGGCGAGCTTGAGAAAGGGCAGGGGTAGGCCAAAGAAGTATTGGGGAGAGGTGATTAGACAGGACATATCGGTAATTCACCTAACCGAGGACATGACTAGCGATAAGAAGGTGTGGAGGTCGAGGATAAAGGTAGTGGGTTGCCAAGTAGTTTTGAGTTTCTCCTAGGTTATCAGTACTACTAATAATATTCTTGTTGTTGACTGAAAGTTACTTCCTTTTACTTTGTTATTATATCTGGTACTTAGCAACCACGTCCAGTGTTTTTGAAAATTGCTACTGGAAATTGTTGCTCCCTGATTATTATTATTATTTGATGCTTTTCTTTCTCCCTTTTACTGGAAATTGTTGCTCCCTGATTGTTACTTGCTAATTTTTCTCCTCTTTTTCCTTATCATCTTTTGTCTCCCTCATCTGTCTTTCTCTCCCCCCCCCCCCCTTTTCTTCTTTTTTTTTCTTCCCTTTTCTTCCTTTTTACTTTTTCTTGAGCCGAGGGTCTATCGGAAACAACCTCTCTATTTCCCCAGGTAGGGGTAAGGTCTGCATATACATTACCCTCCCCAGACTCCACTTGTGGAATATCCTCTCAACACTTCAAGATTAACAAGCAGAACAGAGGAAATTTTGGAAACTAACAAGCAAATGTAGCAGAAGTTGAAGAATCTCTCACCTCAGGAATTAGAGAAAAGCAGTCTCAAATTTGGTTACTAGCCAAGAGTTCTCTAAGGAGCAATGTAACCAATTCATTCAATTATTCCAATCTATGCAGGGAGGTGGTTCTATTGCCTCAACTTCTGAACCTAATACAAGTGCAAACTTGGGTGCTATTGAAGCTGGCTACCACATTTTCACTTCATTTTTTTCTAGTATTCCTAGAGTTCCTTCGATAATTGACTTTGGTGCTACACAATACATGACTTTTTGTCACGACCCAAGTTCGCCCTCCGTGAACAGTTGTGACGGCACCTAGTCTCTATGACTAGGTTTGCCTAACAAATGCGGGAAAAGAAACAATTGCGGAAAGAAACTAATAAAAACCAAGGTAACAAGATATAACAGTGTTTATGATGCCGCCCGGCATCTAACAATACAAGATTTCCAACTGAACACTCCCAAAACCCGGAATCCTATAAAACAAAAGCTAAGAGTACATAAAATGCTCTAACTCCATAAATGTCTAACAACAAGAAGATGCAGAAGGGCTATACTACTATAGAGAATGGAAAGGGAGTCCTCGGTCTGCGGACGCGGCAGATATACCTCGAAGTCTTTATAGAAAACGCCTCGCCACAAGGGTGATAAGACTAAGTGAAAGTACCTGGATTTGCATACGCAAAAACATGTGCAGGAAAGAGCACGAGTACACCACAGCGGTACCCAGTAAGTGCCAAGGCTAACCTCGATCGAGTAGTGACGAGGAAGGTCAGGGCCCTACCGGTCATATACAATAATATATAAGGAAGATGATCAGAAAATGAAGAAATACAGATAATGAGAGAAACAACAACCACAACCAAGGCAAATAATCACAGAAGGTATATAACTCAACATAAAGATAACAACCGGGGGTCTACCAGGATCTCGTCTTGTAGCCCCAAAAGTAAATAATCAGTGCATCTCCCGGGTGCTGTCCCGTAGTCCATATCACTGTGCAGGGGGATCTATCGGAATACCACATTCGTAGTCCCGAAAGTAAATAATCAGTGGATCTCCCGGGAGCTGTCCCGTAGTCCATATCACTATGCAGGGGGTCTACCGGAATACCACATCTGTAGTCCCAAATAAACAAACAATGGGGGATCTACCGGGAACCGCCCGTAGTCCTAATGTAAACACGCAACAACAACACAAGAATAATCAACTCAATTCAATTTAATATCAGAATAGGCAGGTAATTCTAACCTAGCATGCTGCACAGAGTTCAGATAAGTAGTTTGAGCAAGTAGGCAATTTAGTCTTGTAGGCATGCTTTCCTAAGCTAACAGTAAGCTCAAAGTTCAAGTAGTGTAAACAATGAGGTAAAATACGAAATATAGGTACTTAAATGAAAAACATGATTTTCAACAATCAACACAAGTACGCGCTCGTCACCTCACATACAATGCATTTCAAATATCACAGTACCAAATCCTAAGGGGAGTCCCCCCACACAAGGTTAGACAAGCCACTTACCTCGAACCAGCTCAATCAAATCTATACCACGTTATTGCCACGAGTATCCGACTCCAAATGGCCCAAATCTATTCAAAGTAATTGCATAATGTAAATAACACTTCAACTAACTCATTCAACTAATTAATTCTAAGCTAATACGCGAAATTAGGAAAAATGACCAAAATGCCCCCCGGGCCCACGTCTCGGAATCAGGTAAAATTTACAAATTCAGAATCCTCATACTCTCATGAGTTCATTTATACCAAAATTATTCCAATCCGACATCAAAATCTAGATCAAAATCCCAAAATTAGGCCTAAGAACTTTTCACCACTTTTCCTCAATTTTTCATCCCAAATCCGAAATTAAATGACAAAACTAAGATTAGACTATTGGAATACAACTAGAAAGGGATTATGAATCGTTACCCACTGATTTCCTTTTCAAAATCCTCCCAAAATCGCCTTCACCCGAGCTCCAAATCGATTTTCTAACTTTTGATTTCAAACTATCAAAATATCTTATTTCTGCTCAGCAAATCCGCTTCTGCAGCCATGAGACCGCACCTGCGATCATGTTTCTGCGGAACTAAAGTCGCATCTACGATAATTGATTAAACAGCAAATTTCGGCACCTGCGACCCAGACTCCGCATCTGCGGTCTCACAGGTGCGGCACACCTCCCGCTTTTGCGTCTTCTGCTGCCTTCACCTGTGGCCGCATCTGCGGCTTGATCTCGCTTCTGCGGTCATCGCACCTGCAGCCCCTAACCACAGGTGCGGTTATGACAGAAAAACTCAGCAGCTTCAGCTGCAAATTCCCAACTCCAAACTTCCCATTAACCATCCGAAATCATCCCGAGGCCCCCGGGACCTCAACTAAAAGCACGAACAAGTCATATACCACTATCCAAACTTATACAAATCTTCAAAACACCTCAAACAACATCGAATCAACCAAATAACATCGGATTCAAGCCTAAGGTTCCAAGAATCTTCCGAATTCCACTTTTGATCAATAAGTCTATCAAACCTCGTCCGAATGACCTGAAATTTTGCACACATGTCCCAAATTACACAACGGACCTACTCCAACTTCCGGAATTCCGTTCCGACCCCTATATCAAAATCTCATTATCGAACCAGAAACTTCAAAAATTTGACCTTCGGCATTTCAAGCATAAATAAGCTATGGACCTCCAAAACACAATCCGAACACGCCCCTAAGCCCGAAATCACCCAACGGAGCTAACAAAACCGACGGAATTCCATTTCGAGGCCGTCTTCACACTGCTCCGATACGGTCCAAATTCTAAAGCTTAAATTCTCATTTAGGGACTAAGTGTCCCAAAACTCTTCGGAACTCCAAATAAATCCTCCCGGCAACTTACAATAGCATAAACAAACACGGGGAAAGCAGTTAATAGTGGATCGGGGCGTAAATTCTTAAGACGACCGGCCGAGTCGTTACATCCTCCCACACTTAAACATTCCTTCGTCCTCGAACGAGCATAGAGACATACCTGAAGTAGTGAAAAGATAAGGGATAGGCCGCGCATATCCTGCTCGGTTTCCCAAGTCGCCTCCTCGACCGGCTGACCCCACCAGTGAACCTTCACTGATGCAATGTTCTTTGACCTCAGCTTTCAAAACTGCCTGTCCAATATCGCCATTGGCTCCTCAATATAAGATAGATCCTTGTCCAATTGGACTGGACTGAAATCCAACACGTGCGACGGATCACCATGGTACCTCCGGAGCATCAAAACATGAAATACCGGATGAACTCCTGCCAAGCTGGGAGGTAAGGCAAGCTCATAAGCAACCCCCCCAACACGCCGCAATATCTCAAAAGGGCCAATAAACCTCGGACTCAATTTCCCTTTCTTCCCAAATCTCATAACGCCTTTCATAGGCGAAACCCGCAGCAGAACCCACTCTTCAACCATATAGGAAACATCTCGAACCTTCCGGTCCGTATAACTCTTCTATCTGGACTGGAATGTATGGAGTCTATCCTGAATTACCTTGCCTTTCTTCAAAGCATCCTGTACCAAGTCTGTGCCCAATAATCTAGCCTCGCCCGGCTCGAACCAACCCACCGGGGACCTACACCGCCTACCATTCAAGGACTCATACGGTGCCATCTGAATGTTGGACTGATAGCTGTTGTTGTAAGCAAACTCAGCCAGTGGCAAGAACTGATCCCAAGAACCTCCAAACTCCAACACACACGCACGGAGCATATCCTCAAGAATCTGAATAGTGCGCTCGGACTGTCCGTCCATCTGGGGGTAAAATATTGTGCTCAACTCCACCCGAGTGCCCAACTCATGTTGTACGACCCTCTAGAACCGTGATATGAACTGAGTACCTCTATCTGAAATAATATAAAATGGAATACCATGTAGACGGACAATCTCCCGGATATAGATCTCCGCCAACCGCTCCAAAGAATAGGCGGTACACACAGGAATGAAACGCGCGAACTTGGTCAGCTGATCCACAATCACCCAAATGGCATCGAACTTCCTCGAAGTCCGTGGGAGCCCAACTACGAAGTCCATGGTGATCCGCTCCCACTTCCACTCCAGAATCTCTATCTTTTGAAGAAATCTACCCGGTCTCTGGTGCTCATACTTTACCTGCTGACAATTGAGGCACCGAGCAACAAACCCAACTATATCCTTCTTCATCCGCCTCCACCAATTGTGCTTTCTCAAATCCTGATACATCTTCACGGCACCCGGATGGATGGAGTATCGCGAACTATGGGCCTCCTCTAGAATCAAGTCCCGAAGCCCATCATCATTGGGTACACAAACCCGACCGTGCATCCTCAATACCCCATCATCACCAATGGTCACATCTATGGCATTACCTCGTAGAACCTTATCCTTGAGGACAAGCAAATGGGAGTCTTTAAACTGACGCTCCCGGATACGATCAAACAAGGAAGACCGAGAAACCACACAAGCAAGGACCCGGCTAGGCTCCGAAAGATCCAATCTCACAAACTGGCTGGCTAAGGCCTGAACATCCATCGCCATGGGCCTCTCCGCTGCTGGTAGATAAGCCAAACTCCCCAAACTATCCGCCCGGTGACTCAAAGCATCGGCCACCATATTGGCCTTGCGCGGGTGATATAAGATAGTGATATCATAGTCATTCAGCAGCTCTAACCACCTCCTCTGGCGCAAATTAAGGTCCTTCTACTTGAACAGATGCTGCAAACTCCGGTGATCAGTATAAATCTCACAAGGCACACCGTAGAAATAATAACGCTAGATCTTCAAGGCGTGAACAATAGCAGCTAACTCGAGATCATGGACAGGATAATTCTTCTCATATACCTTCAACTGTCGAGATGCGTAGGCAATCACCCTACCGTCCTGCATAAATACCGCTCCAAGGCCAATCCTCGAGGCATCACAATAGACAGTATAAGACCCCGAACCAGTAGGCAATATCAAAACTGGGGCTATAGTCAAAGCTGTCTTGAGCTTCTGAAAGCTATCCTCACACTCTTCCATCCACTAGAACGGAGCACCCTTCTGGGTCAGCATGGTCATAGATACTGCAATAGATGAAAATCCCTGAACAAATTAACGGTAATAACCCACCAAGCCGAGAAAACTGCGGATCTCTATCGCTGATCTAGGCTAACTCTGCACTGCTTCCACTTTCTTTAGATCCACCTTTATCCCCTCACTAGATACCACGTGACCCAAGAATGCCACGGAATCCAACCAAAACTCACATTTCGAGAACTTAGCGTATAACTTCTTTTCCCTCAAAGTCTGAAGCACTGTCCTCAGGTGTTGCTCATGATCTTCCCGACTCCGGGAATATACTAGAATGTCATCAATAGAGACAATGACGAAAGAGTCAAGATATGGCCAGAATACATTGTGCATCAAGTGCATGAAGGCTGCTGGGGCATTGGTCAGCCCAAATAGCATAACAAGGAACTCGTAATGACCACACCGAGTCCTGAAGGCAGTCTTCGGGATGTTTGGCTCCCGAATCTTCAACTGATGATAGCCTGAACGCAAGTCAATCTTAGAAAACACACGAGCACCCTGTAACTGATCAAACAGGCTATCAATACGAGGCAAAGGATAACGGTTCTTCACTGTAACCTTGTTCAACTGGCGATAATCAATACACATACGCATAGAACCATCCTTCTTCTTCACAAACAACATAGGAGAACCCCAAGGTGATACGCTGGGCCCAATGAAACCCTTATCAAGCAATTCCTATAACTGCTCCTTCAACTCCTTCAACTCAGGAGGAGCTATACGGTACGGAGCAATAAAAATGGGCTGAGTGCCCGGCAATAGATCAATGCCAAAATCAATCTCTCTATCGGGCGGCATGCCCAGAAGATCAGCTAGAAACACATCAGAGAAATCCCATACTACTGGGACCGAATCGATTGTAGGGGTATCAATACTGACATCTCTCACATAAGCTACGCGTCACACCCCTTCTCAACTATACGCTGAGCCATAAGGAACGAAATAACTCTGCTGGAAGTATGATCTAAGGTACCCCTCCACTCTACTTGCGGTACACCTGGCATAGCCAGTGTCACGATTTTTGCGTGACAATCAAGAATAGCATAATGGGGCGACAACCAGTCCATGCCCAGAATAACATTAAAGTCTACAATGTTGAGCAATAACAAATCGGCTTTGGTCTCAAAATCACTAAGAGCAATCAAACACGACCGATAAACGCGATCCACAACATGAGAATCTCCAACAGGAGTAGAAACATAGACAAGAGAACTCAAGGAATCCTGAGATACGCCCAAATACGGGGCAAAATATGAGGACACATATGAATAAGTGGAGCTTGGATCGAATAGAACCGATGCATCTCTATGACAGACAAGGATAGTACCTATGATGATAGAATTGAAGGCGACAGCCTCTGTACGGGCAGGAAGGGCATAGTATCTGGCTTGGCCTCTCCCTCGAGGGCGACCTCTACCTCCCCAACCTCCACCTCTAGCTGGCGGAGCAGGTGGGGTAGCAACTGGTGCTGTGATCATAGCCTGAGGACTCTGTGGAGCGCGCTGTGGCTGAGAAGTCTGTGGAGGTGCACCCCTCCCAAGTCTAGGGCAATCCCTCACCATATGGCGTGCGTCACCACACTCAAAACAAGCTTTGGGAGGACGTGGCAGCTGTGACTGGCACGGGCCAGGTCTGCTGGACTGACCACTGGAAGCACCCCGTGCAGGAGGCGCACTAGATACTGGAGGTGCATAATAAAGCTCCTGAGGTCTAGGAGGAGTTGGAATACTACTAGCTACTGGAAGAGCTGAATGAACGGGGGGACTCATATAACCCCTACCATGACAAGCTGAAGCTGGGGCACGGGCACCAGAATAATGGCCCAACTCTCGAGACCTCTTGGCCTCCCTCTCCTCTCTGTCCCGAGCATACATACCCTCTACTCTCCTGGCAATGCTCACCACCTGCTGATAAGAAATATCCATCTCCAACTCCCGAGCCATACTAGACCTGATGCTGGGAATGAGCCTCTCAATAAACCGGTGAACCTTCTCGCGAACAATAGAAACCAAAGCTAGTGCATGTCTAGCCAAGTCGGTGAAACAAACAGCATACTCCGAGACAATCATAGTACCCTGGCGCAAATGCTCAAACTCTGCGCGCCAAGCGTCCCTGAGGCTTTGGGGAACATACTCTCTCGTGAACATATCTGAAAACTGAGCCCAAGTAAAGGAAGCTGCCTCATCCGGACTGTCTAACTCATAAGCACGCCGCCACTGATAGGCATCTCCTCGAAGCTGAAAGGTAGTGACAGAAACCCCGCTCGATCCTGATATACCCATGGTACAGAGGATAGGGTAGCACTCCTTTAGAAATCTAAGAGCATCATCTGAGGTTAGTCCACTAAATGTAGAAGGCTGATACTTCTTGAACCTCTCAAGCCTCTTCTGCTCCACCTTTGAAGCTACTGCCCTCTCCTCGGGCTGAACTGGGGTTACAGGTTGTGCCGGTATAATCTATGGGACCTGCTCAACATGCACTCGCTGCTCAGGAATGCGAGCGGCAGGAGTCTGTGCTCCTCCCCCGGCCTGGGATGTGGCTGCTGCAAGGGGAAGCAACCCTGCCCGAGCAAGAGTAGTGTACATACTCATAAACTGCGCAAGAGACTCCTGGAGTGCTGGAGTGGTAGTAGCTGTGGGCATATCAGGCGCTTGGGCTCCAACTGGAACTGCTGGTGACTCCTTTGTAGCAGCTCGCGCAGGTGCTCTGGTTGCACCGCATGCGCGTCCTCGGACTCTACCCCAGCCCCGACCTCTGACGGCTCTCGCAGGGAGCGTGGGTTTTTGGTCACCTCCAGTAGCACGTGTCCTCACCATATGTGAGAGAATAGAAGGCAGAAGTTTAGAGTTTTAATACCAAAATGTGGCACGACAAGGAATTCAAATGAAGTGAAGATTTTCTTAACAATTACATAGCCTCTCGTGGATAAACACAGACATCTCCATACCGATCTGTGAGACTCTAATAAACCGGCATATGATTCATGACTCCTATGAACCTAGAGCTCTGGCACCAACTTGTCACGACCCGAGTTCGCCCTCCGTGAACAGTCGTGATGTCACCAAGTCTCTACGGCTGGGTAAGCCTAACAAATGCGGGAAAAGAAACAATTGCGGAAAGAAACTAATAAAAACCAAGATAACAAGATATAACAGTGTTTATGATGCCGCCCAACATCTAACAATACAAGATTTCCAACTGAACATTCCCAAAACACGGAATCCCATGAAACACAAGCTAAGAGTACATAAAATGCTCTAACTCCAGAAATGTCTAACAACAAGAAGATGCAGAAGGGCTATACTACTATAGAGAATGGAAAGGGACTCCTCGGTCTGCGGACGCGACAGATATACCTCGAAGTCTTTATAGAAAACGCCTCGCCTCAAGGGTGATAAGACTAAGTGGAAGTACCTAGATCTGCACACGCAAAAACATGTGCAGGAAAAGGCATGAGTACACCACAGCAGTACCCAGTATGTGCCAAGCTTAACCTCGGTCGAGTAGTGACGAGGAAGGTCAGGGCCCTACCGGTCATATACAATAATATATAAGGAAGATGATCAGTAGTAAAAAATTGCAGATAATGAGAGAAACAACAACCACAACCAAGGCAAATAATCATAGAAGGTATATAACTTAACATAAAGATAACAACCGGGGGTCTACCGGGATCCCGTCCTGTAGCCCCAAAAGTAAATAATCAGTGGATCTCCCGGGTGTTGTCCCGTAGTTCATATCACTGTGCAGGGGGATCTACCAGAATACCACATCCGTAGTCCTGAAAGTAAATAATCAGTGGATCTCCCGGGTGTTGTCCCGTAGTTCATATCACTGTGCAGGGGGATCTACCGGAATACCACATCCGTAGTCCCGAAAGTAAATAATCAGTGGATCTCCCGGGTGCTGTCCCTGTAGTCCATATAACTATGCAGAGGGATCTACCGGGAACCGCCCGTAGTCCCAATGTAAACACGCAACAACGACACAAGAATAATCAACTCAATACAATTTAATATCAGATTAGGCAGGTAATTCTAACCTAGCATGCTGCACAGAGTTCAGATAAGGCAGTTTGAGCAAGTAGGCAATTTAGTTTTGTAGGCATGCTTTCCTAAGCTAACAGTAAGCTCAAAGTTCAAGTAGTGTAAACAGTGAGGTAAAATACGAAATATAGGTACTTAAATGAAAAACAAGATTTTCAACAATCAGCACAAGTACGAGCTCGTCACCTCACGTACAAGGCATTTCAAATATCACAGTACCAAATCCTAAGGGGAGTTCCCCCACACAAGGTTAGACAAGCCACTTATCTCGAACCAGCTCAATCAAATCTATACCACGTTCTTGCCACGAGTATCCGACTCCATTGGTCCAAATCTATTCAAAGTAATTGCATAATGTAAATAACACTTCAAGTAACTAATTCAACTAATTAATTCTAAGCTAATACGCGAAATTAGGAAAAATGACCAAAACGCCCCCCGGGCCCACATCTCGGAATCGGATAAAATTTACAAATTCAGAATCCTCTCTCACGAGTTCATTTATACCAAATTTATTCCAATCCGACATCAAAATCAAGATCAAAACCCCAAAATTAAGTCAAAGAATTTTTCTCTAGTTTTCCTCAATTTTTCATCCCAAATCTGAAATTAAATGACAAAACTAAGATTAGATTATAGGAATACAACTAGAAACGGATTAGGAATCGTTACCCACTGATTTTCTCTTCAAAATCCTTCCAAAATCGCCCTCACCCGTGCTCCTAATCGATTTTCTAACTTTTGATTTCAAACCCTCGAAATATCTTATTTCTGCCCAGCAAATCCGCTTCTGCGGCCATGAGACCGCACCTGTGGTCCCGCTTCTGCGGAACTAAAGTTCCATCTGCGACAATTCATTAAACAGCAAATTTCTGCACCTGCGATCCAGACTCCGCATCTGCGGTCCCGCAGGTGCGGCACACCTCCCGCTTCTGCGTCTTCTGCTGCCTTCACCTGTGGCTGCATCTGCGGCTTGATCTTGCTTCTACGGTCATCGCACCTGCGGCCCCCTAACCGCAGGTGCGGTTATGACAGAAAAACTCAGCAGCTTCAGCTGCAAATTCCCAATTCCAAACTTCCCGTTAACCATCCAAAATTACCCCGAGGCCCTCGGGACCTCAACCAAAAGCACGAACAAGTCATATACCACTATCCAAACTTATACAAATCTTCAAAACACCTCAAACAACATCGAATCAACCAAATAACATCGGATTAAAGCCTAAGGTTCCAAGAATCTTCCGAATTCCGCTTTTGATCAAAAAGTCTATCAAACCTCGTCCGAATGACCTGAAATTTTGCACACACGTCTCAAATTATACAACTGACCTACACCAACTTCCGGAATTCCGTTCCGACCCCGATATCAAAATCTCACTATCGAACCGGAAACTTCAAAAATTCGACCTTCGGCATTTCAAGCCTTATTAAGCTACGGACCTCCAAAATACAATCCGAACACGCCCATAAGCCCGAAATCACCCAACAGAGCTAACGGAACTGACAGAATTCCATTCTGAGGCCGTCTTCACACTGCTCCGA